CCAGTCTTTCCTCCTTGCTGGTGTCTGTCTGCCCTCCTTACTGGTTCCAGTCTTTCCTCCTTGCTGGTGTCTGTTTGCCCTCCTTACTGGTTCCAGTCTTTCCTCCTTGCTGGTGTCTGTTTGCCCTCCTTACTGGTTCCAGTCCGTATTCCTTGCTGGTGTCTGTTTGCCCTCCTTACTGGTTCCAGTCCGTATTCCTTGCTGGTGTCTGTTTGCCCTCCTTACTGGTTCCAGTCTTTCCTCCTTGCTGGTGTCTGTCTGCCCTCCTTACTGGTACCAGTCTTTCCTCCTTGCTGGTGTCTGTCTGCCCTCCTTACTGGTACCAGTCTTTCCTCCTTGCTGGTGTCTGTCTGCCCTCCTTACTGGTTCCAGTCTGCCCTCCTTGCTGGTTCCAGTCTGTATTCCTTGCTGGTATCTGTCTGCCTTCCTTTCTAGTTCCAGTCTTTCCTCCTTGCTGGTGTCTGTCTGCTCCCCTTACTGGTTCAGTCTGTATTCGTTGCTGGTACCAGTCTTTCCTCCTTACTGGTTCCAGGCTGTATTGCTTACTGGTACCAGTCCGTCCTTGCTGGTAACAGTCGTTATTCCCTGTGGTTACTGGTCTGTCCTCCTTACTGGTACCAGTCAGTACTCTTTGCTGCTGCCAGTGTGTCTTGTTTACTGGTACCAGTCTGCCCTCCCTACTGGTACCCGTCTGTCCTCCTTACTGGTGCCAGTGTGTCCCCTTTTCTGGTACCAGTTTGCCCTCCTTAATGGTTCCTGTCTGTATTCCCTTTGGGTACGGGTCTGTCCTCCTTACTGGTACCAGTCTGTCCTCCTTACTGGTACCAGCGGCACTGACCTGGCGGGCGCCCCCCCCTCGGGGCGAGGGGGAGGAAGGAGAGGAAGAGGAGGACGGCAGCGAGGGAGAGCGCAGCCGAGAAGAGGAGCCGGGAGGCCTCGGGGGAGAGCTCGGGGACGGGCACCATCGCCCGCCGGCTGCTGGCGCCTGAGCGGCTGGCCCGGGGTCGGCTGGTCCGGGG